GTCGCCTCAGATGACCCGAGAGGCTGATTGGAATTAACCCATTCGCAGAGACGATTACAGGTATAATTTCGGCCGGCAGTCCACCCCAAATGTCGGTCACCTCGCGAGCCAGGTCCAGATATTTTGTCAGTTTATCTGTTTCGGCTTTCACGAGGTTCTCGTCATAAGGAATGGTAATGTCGACCAAAATATCCTTGACTGTGCCCGGTCCATCAGCACAATATCAGGCTTATTCGCAAGAATAGTCCTGTCTGTGATGATGGCCCGGTCCCAGTAGAGCCTGGCGCGGTCATTTTCGAGTACGGCTTCCGGCAAGTACTTATAATACGGCAGTTTCCGATCCACGAGACCGTATTTCAGAGCGAGCTCCTGGTGTAGAATCCTGGCTACTAAGTTGTGTCTGTGCAAATACTCAGAGTTAGAAAGCGCCGAACAACCGGAAATGACATGCCTAAGTGACTCATCGGGATGGCGACAAGCTCGACAGACGTCGACGGTGCCATCCTTTAGGATGTATCTGCGATAATTGTTGGTCTTAATAACCTGGTCCTGTATCGCACAGACAAAACCCTCGGTTTCCCCAAAGAGGTCACAGAAACGTAGCCAGTGGAGGGAGGCAACTGTGTCTACGAAAGGCTCGTGTAGAGCCTTGTAGAACCTCCCGTGGAGCTCCTTCTCCTTCCATACGGTCTTCCGGTCGGAAATGCTCTGTACAGCCGGGTCCCGCCATTGCTCGTTGGCTAAAGATAGAGGGGTAAGTCCTTTATCACAAGAAATAACGTCCCTATAGTATGGATCATCCGCTCTCGTCAGAAAGTAATTACGGAGGCTGCACACTTCGCGATTTTGCATGGTAAGCGCGCTTAAAAAGCCGCGCCCACCATGCTTCCGCGGCAAGTACAGCCTCATTACTGACGATCTCGGATGATGCATCCTGTGGGACGTCATTATAGTGCGGACTTTTCTGTCCAGAGCGTTTAGTTCGGTCTGAGTCCACCTAAGTATGCCAAAGGTATACATGAGAACAGGCATGACCCAACCGTTATATGCGTGCGTCTTATTCACACCGGACAAAAGGCTGTTAAGCACTTTCGTCAAGCGTGCATAAAACACATCGCAAACTGACTGTTTCAAACCCGCCTCATCTACACCGATGTTCTGTGACATACCCAGGTATCGGTATGTTTCAGCCTCGGAAAGGGTCCTTATGTTGATGGGCATAGATAAATCTATGCCCTCAGAGTTAGCAACCCTTCCCCTTTCAACATGGAGGACCGCACACTTATCGGTCCCCAGCTCCATTCTAATAGAATTGCTAAAATCACAAGTGATGTTTAGCAATTCCATAAGATGAGAGCGACTGGAGGCGAATAACTTGAGATCATCCATATAGAAAAGGTGGGTCACTTTTGTACCTCCTCTCCGAAGCTGAAATCCCCTCCCGGAACCCTCCAGTAAGATACTAAGAGGGTTCAGAGAGATGCAGAACCAGATTGGACTCAAACAATCGCCCTGGAAGATACCCCTTCTTATCTTTATGTGGTTCTCCACAGCCGTCATCCGCTCGCCTAGATGACAAAGGATCGTACTACACTGCCCCATACACTGCCCGAGGAAGTCTCTAACTGTACAGTCAATCTTGTACAGCTCGAGGACCCTCTTAAGCCATGCATGAGGCAGCGAGTTGAATGCCTTTTTGTAGTCTATCCAGGCGGCGGAGAGGTTCCGACGGTTGCGTTTAACCACCTTGCCAATGACCGCGTCTATGAGGAGTGGTTCCTTGGTTCCACGACCACCGCCCCTACATCCATTCTGAGCGCGCGACATCACCTGATTTGAGTTCAGGTGACGACTGATTTTCGCGCTCAAAATGGATGTTAGTGTCTTGTATATCGTGGGTAGACACGTGATGGGGCAGTATTTGCTCGGGTCTGTGGTATCCTGATCTTTAGGAACCAAATGAGTGATCCCAGTAGTGAAGAGGCTCGGAAGCGACTTCTGGTCGAGAGCCTCTTGAAACTGTCGGGCGACCACAGCGTGACACACCACGAACCCCTTCAGCCAGTAGTGATGCAGTCCGTCGAGCACCGGACATTTCCATTTCGGGGCCCTACGGACCGCCTCAACTACGTCATCCGGCGTTATGATGACGGGGTCCATGGGCATAATATTCGCACACTGACTCGCCACAACTTCCGTCCAAGGGCCCTCGCTGTGTTTTACGGGCTCTGACCACAGGCCGCGCCAGAATGAGATAGTGTCGGCCTGATTCGGTGCTGGGCCCGTTCTACGTACCATTGGCCGCTCCAATGATTCATAGAGCCTCTTCTGATCACTCTGGAAGAGACAATTCTGGTTGAACCGTGTCGACCTCTCGGTATATCGCCGAATTCGCTTCCCTCAAGCAGCGATTCTCTGCTTCAGGTCGTCTATGCGCTCCGTCAGTTTTTGCGTTATATCCGGCTGGGACAAACTGATATTTGTCCTAGCAAACGCCATTCTGACGGTGCGCACAATTCTCGGCCTATTATTGCCCGACCTGAAGCTTATCTGCCTGCCGATGAGGGCCCTTGCCTTTACGATACGGTCCTCAATCCTTCTTCTCCAGCCTGGGATGACGCTACTTTGTCTAGTAGCGCGTCCAGCCGTGGGAAGTTTGGCGTCAACAATACGGCAAACTGCCAGTGCGGCGCCAAAAAGAATTGAGTTCGTCTCGCAAAGGTCCCGGCTGGCTTCCAAATAGATCACCAGCATTGGGTTGAGAGCCCTCACGACAGCCCGATTCCGCTTGCTTAGGGGTATGCGCGGGAGTCGCGGTCGATTTTCGAGAGGCGTACTGCGCGTTTCCACAATCGCCTCCTCCAATTTACTCCTCATCTGCTCTAGTTCTTGGGTGACCATTCCATCATCGCCTGAATCAACCAGAGCGGGGAGATCCATGGCGCCCTCTTTATGTAGCTGCTGGTCTGTGGCCTGAGGAGCCGCATCCCCAGCTATAGCCGGTTCATTCGATGAGGGAATAGCCTCACGTCGTAGTCGTTCGAGTTCGGCATCATCAAATATTATCGAGCGTATGATGTGCTCGATACGCTATCCCTCCAGTTTCTTCCCCTTTCGCCCTATAGTACGCCCGCAATGCGTTTATGTTCATATTTTTTGTCCAACGCATGCGGCGTACTCCACCAGCGGCGGGTGCCGCTTGCCAAGTCCGAGAGGACCCCGCCGACACCAAGCCGTCTGGTGGGGATGATGGACGCGAGGGGCTGCTAGGTGGTCGTGCAGCACCTCGCGCTCGGCTGGCGGCTCGCATGCTGTCACGTCCAGCGCCAGCTCCAGACGCGCCCCGGCGACCCCCAGGCAGCGGCCCTATGCGCGTTCTTTAATAATTATTTTGGGGTATCTATAAAGTTTTCTCATCTGGTTGGGCAGTATAAATATATAATTGTAAATGAAAATGGTAAACATACATAAATATGAATAAAATAAAATAAATACATAAAAATACATAAATATATAAAAACCCAACCAGATGGAAGCCCTCGGCAGGGGAGATCAGACGGCCGAGGGTTAGGGGGAAAGGGAAAGAAACCGGCGGATGATGCGGGTGGTATCGAGGAGCACAGCCTTCTGCATTTGAGCCTGGAGCGGTCCGTCACGGAGTCCCAGTCACCTCAGATGACCCGGGAGGCTGACTGGGATTAACCCGTTCGCAGAAACGACCACAGAAATAATTTCGGTCGGCAGACCACCCCACATGCCGGTAACCTCGTGAGCCAGGTCCAGATATTTTGTCACCTTATCTGTTTCGGCTTTCACGAGGTTCTCGTCATAAGGAATGGTAATGTCGACCAAAAAGATCCTTGACTGTGCCCGGTCCATCAGCACAATATCAGGCTTATTCGCAGGAATAGTCCTGTCTGTGATGATGGTCCGGTCCCAGTAGAGCCTGGTGCGGTCATTTTCGAGCACGGCTTCCGGCAAGTACTTATAATAAGACAGTTTCCGATCCACGAGGCCGTATTTCAGAGAGAGCTCCTGGTGTAGAATCCTGGCTACTAGATACTGTCTGTGCAAATACTCAGAGGTAGAAAGCGCCGAACAACCGGAGATGACATGCCTAAGTGACTCAACGGGATGGCGACAAGCTCGACAGATGTCGACGGCGCCATCCTTTAGGATGTATCTCCGATAATTGTTGGTCTTAATAACTTGATTCTGTATCGCACAGACAAAACCCTCGGTTTCCCCAAAGAGGTCACTGAAACGTAGCCAGTGAAGGGAGGCGACTGTGTCTACGAAAGGCTCATGTAGAGCCTTGTAGAACCTCCCGTGGAGCTCCTTCTCCTTCCATACGGCCTCCCGGTCGGAAATGCACTGTACTGCTGGGTCTTGCCATTGCTCGTTGGCTAAGGATAGAGGGGTCAGTCCTTTATCACAAGAAATAACGTCCCTATAGTATGGATCATCCGCTCTCGTCAGAAAGTAATTACGGAGGCTGCACACTTCGCGATTTTGCATGGTAAGCGCGCTTAAAAAGCCGCGCCCACCATGCTTCCGCGGCAAGTACAGCCTCATTACTGACGATCTCGGATGATGCATCCTGTGGGACGTCATTATAGTGCGGACTTTTCTGTCCAGAGCGTTTAGTTCGGTCTGAGTCCACCTAAGTATGCCAAAGGTATACATGAGAACAGGCATGACCCAACCGTTATATGCGTGCGTCTTATTCACACCGGACAAAAGGCTGTTAAGCACTTTGGTCAAGCGTGCATAAAACACATCGCAAACTGACTGTTTCATACCCGCCTCATCTACACCGATGTTCTGTGACATACCCAGGTATCGGTATGTTTCAGCCTCGGAAAGGGTCCTTATGTTGATGGGCATAGATAAATCTATGCCCTCAGAGTTAGCAACTCTTCCTCCTTCAACATGGAGGACCGCACACTTATCCGTCCCCAGCCCCATTCCAATTGAATTGTTAAAATCACAAGTGATGTTTAGCAATTCCACAATAACTTGAGATCATCCATATAGAAATGGTGGGTCACTTTTGTACCTCCTCTCCGAAGCTGAAATCCTCTCCCGGAACCCTCCAGTAAGATACTAAGAGGGTTCAGAGAGATGCAGAACCAGATTGGACTCAAACAATCGCCCTGGAAGATACCCCTTCTTATCTTTATGTGGTTCTCTGCAGCCGTCATCCGCTCGCCTAGATGACAAAGGATCGTACTACACTGCCCCATACACTGCCCGAGGAAGTCTCTAACTGTACAGTCAACCTTGTACAGCTCGAGGACCCTCTTCAGCCATGTATGAGGCACCGAGTGGAATGACTTTTTGTAGTCTATCCAGGCGGCGGATAAGTTCCGACGTTTGCGTTTAACCACTTTGCCAATGACCGCGTCTATGAGGAGTGGTTCCTTGGTTCCACGACCACCGCCCCGACATCCATTTGGAGCGCGCGACATCACCTGATTTGAGTTCAGGTGACGAGTGATTCTCGCGCTCAAAATGGATGTTAGTGTCTTATATATCGTGGGTAGACACGTGATGGGGCGGTATTTGCTCGGGTCTGTGGTATCCCGGTCTTTAGGAACCAAATGAGTGATCCCAGTAGTGAAGAGGCTCGGGAGCGACTTTTGGTCGAGAGCTTCTTGAAATTGTCGGGCGAGCACAGCGTGACACACCACGAACCCCTTCAGCCAGTAGTGATGCAGCCCGTCGAGCCCCGGACTTTTCCAGTTCGGGGCCCTTCGGACCGTCTCAGCTACATCGTCCGGCGTTATAATGACGGGGTCCATGGGCGTAAGATTCGCACACTGACTTACCACAACTTCCGTCCAAGGGCCCTCGCTGTGGTTTACGGGTTCTGACCACAGGCCGGGCCAGAATGCGACAGTGTCGGACTAATTCAGTGCTTGGCCCGTTCCACGTACCATTGGTCGCTCCAATGATTTATATAGCCTCTTCTGATCACTTTGGAAGAGACGATTCTGGTTGAACCGTGTCGACCTCTCGGTATATCGCCGAATCCGCTTCCCCCAAGCAGCGATTCTCTGCTTCAGGTCGTCTATGCGCTCCGTCAGTTTTTGCGTTATATCCGGCTGGGACAAACTGATATTTGTCCCAGCAAACGCCATTCTGACGGTGCGCACAATTCGCGGCCTATTATTGCCCGACCTGAAGCTTATCAGCCTGCCGATGAGGGCTCTTGCCTTTACGATACGGTCCTCAATCCTTCTTCTCCAGGCTGGCATGGCGCTACTTTGTCTAGTAGCGCGTCCAGCCGTGGGAAGTTTGGCGCCAACAATACGGCAAACTGCCAGTGCGGCGCCAAAAAGAATTGAGTCCGTCTCGCAAAGGTCCCGGCTGGCTTCCAAATAGGTCACCAGCATTGGGTTGAGAGCCCTCACGACAGCCCGATTCCGCTTGCTTAGAGGTATGCGCGGTAGTCGCGGTTGATATTCGAGAGGCGTACTGCGCGTTTCCACAATCGCCTCCTCCAATTTACTCCTCATCTGCTCTAGTTCTTGGGTGACCATTCCATCATCGCCTGAATCATCCAGAGCAGGGAGATCCATGGCGCCCTCTATATGTGGCTGCTGGTCTGTGGCCTGAAGAGCCGCATCCCCAGCTATAGCCGGTTCATTCGATGAGGGAATAGCCTCACGTCGTAGTCGTTCGAGTTCGGCATCATCAAATATTTTCGAGCTTATGATGTACCGAACTCGGTCTGCCAGGTTTTGCTCCGTGACGGGAACTGACGGCTCAAGCTCAGCAAAAAAGCGATGCATCCGAGCCCGATACGCTATCCCTCCAGTTTCTTCCCCTTTCGCCCTATAGTACGCCCGCAATGCGTTTATGTTCATATTTTTTGTCCAACGCATGCGGCGTACTCCACCAGCGGCGGGTGCCGCTCGGCGAGTCCGAGAGGACCCCGCCGACACCAAGCCGTCTGATGGGGATGATGGACGCGAGGGGCTGCTAGGTGGTCGTGCAGCACCTCGCGCTCGGCTGGCGGCTCGCATGCTGTCACGTCCAGCGCCAGCTCCAGACGCGCCCCGGCGACCCCCACGCAGCGGCCCTATGCGCGTTCTATTATTTTCCATCATCCATTAAATTGGGCGTCAATTAACGGGAGACGCCCAGACCCGGCGCCGTTTAATAGTGTGGCCGTAAGCACAAACGGGCCTTTGCATCCTCAATACTTCCGAGTCACGGCGCTCACACCTCTTGGCAAGGCACTGACTGACTGCGCTGACATAGCAGTTTTGTCACTTAATTGTTATTCAATTCAATTCAATTCAATTTCGTTTATTCAGTTTAGGCACATAAAGAGCACATATGAACGTCAAAGTTTTACAATCATGTCAAGAAACAATTAATATAATATTAAATAAAGTAAATAAATCATTTGAAAATGATTCTTTCGCTGGTTCGGTAAGTTGGTTTAAAATTACTATTAAATAAACTCAGTGAACAGTTTTATATATCGTTTCTTTCTTTTTTTAAACAATGTGTTTTTTTTTAACTGATTTATATTGTGCGAGCAAGCAAAAAGATTAGGAAGACCATGGATTTTTATCTTTGAGGTATTCGTCTACTTTATAATATCCTTTTTTCATTAAACACTTTTTTACTTCTATTTTAAACTTATTTAGTGGCATGTCAACCAGGTCCTGAGGAATTTTATTAAACATTTTTATACTGTTACCTACAAACGAATTACCAACCTTATGAAGTCTGAGTTTTGGCACTACAAGTTTATTTTTATTTCTCGTATTATAATTGTGTACGTCAGAGTTTTTTTTGAAGAGATCTAGGTTCTTGCGTACATATAAGACATTATCGTAAATGTATTGGCAAGCAACTGTTAAAATATTAATTTCTTTAAATAGTTCTCTCAGCGAGTCGCGGGGTCTGAGGCTATATATAGCTCGTATCGCTCGTTTCTGTAATATGAAAATAGTCTCAATATCGGCAGCTGAGCCCCACAGCATCAGACCATACGACATAACGCTATGAAAGTAGCTAAAATAAACTAATCGTGCCGTTTTCTCATCAGTCAGTGACCTTATTTTTCTAACCGCATAGGCAGCTGAGCTAAGTCTTCCTGCCAAGGCTGAGATATGAGAACCCCATTGCAGTTTACTATCTAGAGTCATTCCAAGAAAAACTGTGGTATCGACTATTTGAACAGATTCATTGTAATATGAGTATCTATCTGTCTTACATTAGGCATAGTAAACTTTACACATTTCGTTTTCTTCGCATTGAGCAGCAAGTTGTTACTTGTGAACCAATGCACTATTTTAGAAAGGGTGTTATTCACATCGTCAAGTAATTCTTTATGTCTATCAGTTTTAAAAATTAATGATGTGTCATCAGCAAATAACACTATTTCACAAAGATTTTTAGTGAAGTGAGGAAGATCATTTACATATATCAAGAATAAAAGGGGTCCTAATATCGAGCCCTGGGGTACTCCCATGACTAATGGGGGCGCCAGATGAGTTAGTGTCATTAATATTGACTTTTTGTACTCTACCAGTGAGGTAAGATTTAAGTAAGCTAAGTGAGCTGTTAGAAACACCGTAATAACCTAATTTTAATAACAAAGTCTCATGATCAACACAATCAAAAGCTTTTGATAGATCACAAAAAATACCGATGGCATCCCGCTTCTTGTCCCATGCATCAAATATATGTTTAACGAGTTCAACTCCTGCATCCGTCGTGTTTTTGCCTTTAGTGAAACCGAACTGTTTCTCATGAAGTAACTTATTATAAGTGAAATGTGAAAGCAGTTGATTAAATATAATTTTTTCAAAAATTTTGCTGAGTGCTGGGAGTATAGAGATGGGCCGAAAATTTGATGGATCACTTTTGTCCCCTGCTTTGAATAATGGAATGATTTTACTGTACTTCATGAGTGTGGGAAACTGTTTATCATCGATACATTGGTTAAATATGAATGCAAGATAAGGGGCAATAGCGGGCATTACTGATTTTATTATATTGGTTGAAATGCCCCAAAGATCCTCAGTCTTTTTTATATTTAGTTGCTTAAAAGTTTTTAAGTACGGTTGCGGTGTCAATATACTGAAAATCAAAGTTAACACTACATTTATCAACGCAAGATTCAAGAAGAGAAGCAGCTTCGGTTTTTGAAGATTTTAGTTTACTAGTAGTGGTAATTGGAGCATTTGTGAAAAAAGATTCAAATGCAATGGCCACTTTAGCATCAGTATTGACGTGTTTATCATCTATTTCTAATTCGAAGGATCGATCACGTGACCTTGTTTTACAGGTTTCTTTGTTGATAACATTCCATGTTGCCTTAATTTTGTTATCAGATTTTTGTATTTTGGCCCGGATATAATTAGATTTGGCCATTGAACAGACTTTCTTAAACATTTTTGAGTACTTTTTAGTATGTTCAATGATTTGTGGATCATTTGTACATGCCTTTGTCTCGTATAATTCGTACAATTTCTTTCTACTCTTATAAATTCCAGGTGTAGCCCAATCACTAAATTTAATTTTGAGTTGATTAGTATTAATTGTTTTTTTTTGTGAAAATGTTATTAAATTCGTATTTGATTACTCCAAACAAATCTCCGTATAGATCATTCGGGTTATCAGCAGTATTTGGCTCCAAAAGAGGTACCTTATTGTTAATATTTTCTTTAAATTTTCCTAAACGATATGTTGTGATTGGTCTACATACAATATTTTTAGGCAATGGAACATGTTGGTGCTCAAATCTAGCTAACTGACCTACATGATCTGATTTTATGAACTTTATTATAGATTTGTCGTTTACATTGCTGTCAGTAAAAATATTATCCAAGCAGGTAGCTGTTGTGGATGTGGTGCGAGTTGGTTCACAAAAAAGATTTTGCAAGTTAAAAGATTTAAAAAGATTGAGGAACCTTAACGCATTCTGGGAGTTTTCTAAGATATCAACATTAAAATCGCCACATACAACTACCCTCTTCTTACATTTACATGCCTTTTTTAGGGTTTCTTCCATAATAGATTCAAATAGGTGGCAATCTCCGGAAGGAGGCCGATAGACGCTAATAATAATATATTGATCAAGCTCTGCACATGATATTTCAATATTTCGCTCACTTGAGAGTGCTACAATATCTTTTCTTTCTTTAGATTTTAATTTGTCATTAATTAAAATGAGTGACCCACCTCTTATAGCGGTATCTCTAGTAAACGAACTAATGATTTTATAATTGTCAATATTAATTAATAGTTCATGTTTTTTTAACCAGTGTTCAGTTACACAAAGTACATGAATATGCATTATATTTAAAAATAATTCTAGTTCTAACTCTTTGCCAGAAAAGCCCTCAATATTTTGATGAATAATATTCATGAACATAGACTTTTCCTTTGTCCCTAAAATTAAATTGCTAGAGATTTCCTCTATTGTCCTAGAATTAAATTTAAATGACTGTCACTCTTATTTGGAACAGATTCCAAGGTCGCAAGACAAACATTGTCATTTATCTGCTCAATAAAAGCAGGTTGGTTAGCCAAATTCTTGGCTGAGTATTTATTATAATATGATAGCGAAGATGCTATCTGTCTCTTAAAATATCTATTCAAATAGAATTTATCTTTTGTCAATAATAATTTATTTTCTAAATATAAGTTTATGTCAATTAAATGAAATTTATTTGAATTATGAAATGTCAATGTATGTAATGTTTGATTGAGCTTATATCTAATATTGTTTTCTGCCTGTGACAAACTACGGCTATATGGAAGTGTGAATAAAATT